AAAAAATTTCAACGAAAGCATTGTACTGTGGAACGAAAGCAACTTGCCATGTCAGGACTGGTTATGAGACATAAAAACCAATCGCGTTTGTGCATCACTTGTCAAACCTGACAAGATGCGTCTTTATTCTCAAAGATTGTAAATGAGAATTGAGAGGCTAACATTTTGTTTTCTACAGAACAAAGAAAGTCATATGTTTTGACAAGATGGTGATCATTTTGAGTGAAATATTCCTTTAATATTCATAGGGCTTGTGCTTTAGTATGCATAGTGCTTGTGTTTATGCAACTGTGTTAGCAAAAAGATCTTAGCACCAGGCCATTAAAAATGCACACGAGATAGCAGAGGATTACAGTGTCCATATAAAGAAGAATATGGAAGATTTAGTATATGCTGCTTATGTCAAGGCTGTGTTTAATTTCAGGGTGATTGATGCATGATAAAAATAGACCTCAGTTTAAAGTTTTGGTTGGACTTGTTTTAATATATGCTCCATTTTCTCCACTCATTCTGGCACTAATGGGAGGGAAAACATCTTAAATACACTGTGCGTCAAACACCTCTGACCTGAAGTGTGCCACCTGTAGCCAATATGTAAATATAGTCTAGTGGATTTGAAGCAATGAGGGTTTTTTTATGCTAGAGTGGAGACATTTAGCCAAGGTAAAGGAGAAAACTGATATAGTGCTTTCATAATGGCTCTTTAACATCACAAGCTGAATGTCCTGTGTTACATTCACTCACTGTCACAAGTATGTTTTCATTAGTCATGTGATTTGTTTACCATTAGCCCATGTGTCTGACATCCACATGTTTTGTCTCCATCTTTTTTTGTCATGCCACTGCCTCCATCCCACACATGCTGTCATTGTGAATCGGTATCATCAATCCTCATCTGCATGTTCTGATTGGTCCATCCACTGTGGCCCCTTGCGTGATTGGCTACCACAGGACCACAGTGGTGTCTTACAGGCGGAGGAGTTCAAGGCTTGTTTGATCAGTCTGGGTTACGACGTAGAAACCGACAAACAGGTATGAGCACAGCAAGAGAAGAAAGAGTTCTGATTGCTGCCATCTGTGTGTGTATTTGCGCCGCGCCACTCATTTATTCCATCACTCACTAACTCCCTCACTCACCTGTTGTGCTGCTGCTTGAAAAGATGCCCTCTGTAGGTCATCTAAGGTCTTTGCTTTTATTTTATTTTTAATGTTTCTCACTGCTTCCTCTTTGTTTTCTTCTGTTTTCTTTTTTTACTTGTCCTTGCCATACTTCCCCTCCATCTCTTACCCGTCTTCTCTACAAACTCACTCTGATTTCTCTATCAAACCCTCTGTTACCTTCGCGTTTGTTTGTGTACAACCTCTTCATCTCCCCAAATTCTCTGCTTTCCACATGCTTCCTTTCTGTTTCTTTTCTCATCCTTCCCTTTGCGAACTGTAGAAGCGCACGGGGATAATGGACAGCGACGATTTCCGCGCACTGCTCATTTCCACTGGGAACAGCCTGGTACTGCTATCTCCTTTCTCAATCTGTTTCTCCTGAAGTCCTGCTTTTGCTTGCTGTTAAAAATGTATCTGTTTTGTCTGGTATCATTGGTTACTTTTGATGTTTTACCTATGTTTTGAGTTAAGATCCGTAAAAGAAAAAGTGATTATTGAATAGATTCTAATAGACCAAGGCTGATGTAATATTTAGCTTGACACAAATGAAAATGGGGACAAAGTAAATTCAGTGTTCAATGGGTTGTACTGCTATATGCTTTGGTGTTAAAAATGTAGTTGACACAACACTAAAAGAAGTCTTAAATCAACGCATTGAACCGACTGTACTTCTATGTCTCACATCTTCATTTTCATTTGCTTCAACTTAAAAACTTTACTCAAGGTCAGGACTCTCCTCCTGGTTTATCTGGGTTAATCTCTAGCCTCTGTTCCTCAGGGTGAAGCTGAATTTGCTCGCATTATGGGCATTGTTGACCCCAACAACAGTGGAGCAGTGACCTTCCAGGCCTTCATCGACTTCATGTCAAGGGAAACAACCGACACAGACACCGCAGACCAGGTCATCGCCTCGTTTAAGATCCTAGCCGGAGACAAGGTAAGAATTTCAGCGTGTCCAAAGTTTTTGTTGTATGCGACTTCAACATATCTAACCCCGTCTCTTCTTCTTTTCAGAACTTCATCACTGCTGAGGAGTTGAGGCGTGAGCTTCCTCCTGACCAGGCGGAGTATTGCATTGCCCGAATGGCACCGTACGCCGGCCCTGACGCAGTGCCGGGTGCTCTTGACTACATGTCCTTCTCCACCGCCCTGTACGGGGAGAGCGACCTCTAAGCACCAACTCCAGAACTCCAGAGCAGCTCTCTCTCCTGCATTAGTGCTGATCTTCCCACAGACTAGATAGATGAGAGCGCTGGATGGGGCCGCATCTGTCTTTCTCTCAACCATCCAGTCCTTAAAGAGATCAGTGCTCCTGAGGAAGATATTTAAGAGTGTTGGAAACGGGACTTCATAGCACACCTGATGGGGAGGGGGTGGGATGGATGTTTGGGGGAAGGGGGTTACCATGGCATTATGGGAAGAGCGAATAACTGTTGATGAAGCTTGCCACGCATTGAGGGATGACCTTTTGATTCTGTGTAAAACATGTCAGTCTTGGAGAGCTTAAGGAAAGTTGTAGGATAGAAGGAAAGAAGTTTAAGATGCAGGTTCAGTGTCAAGGGAAGAAAGGTTGTGTGGCTTTGGACTGTAGCTACAGCTCAGGTTCTTTAATCTTCTTCCGTTTCCTCTTAAAATCACATGTATACAATGAAAGGACTGAATGTTTTTCCAGCTTGCAAGTGATTTCTCACCAGCAGTAACCTGTAAAGACAGTTAATGTTAAGCCTTTGGGTTAATTAAATGAGAAAAATATTAATTAAAACTATTAGTTTGTTCTGGAATGGAACTAAAAAGAGCTTAAAGAATCCGCTCTGGCTTCAGTCTATTCCTAGACACTTAACCTGCACCCTCTACCCCGGTGGGAAGGGCACAAGCTTTTTCAGTTAACATGCTATTTTTCTTTGTTTTAAGTTTGTTGTTTTCTTGCTAGAGTTGGTGGGGTGGGAGGTTTGGTTTGGGGTTGGAATATGTTATTTGGCATATAGTGAGGCTGTATATCGTAGGAAAATGGACAGAATGACTCAAGTGTATTGTTAGGGAATTTGTGACATGCCCTCTTAACCCATTTTGCTGGATCGATGGAACTCTTTAAAAATCTAACCTCAGCTTATTCCTCCCATTTTATTTCTCTCCTCTCCAGCAATTTTGAGTTGGTGGGATTCTACGCTGTACATACTTATTTTCCAGTACACAGAATTGCCGGAATACCATGGGGCAGTCACACTGCACTTCAGGTCCTAAGCAAAGATTATAAAATGAGCAGTTTCACCCCTGCAGAGTACTGTAAGCAGGTTTGAGTAGCTGCAGGTCTGTGCTTTTTTTTTTTTGAGGGGTTGAAGAATCAATTCACAAAAAATACCCAGTCCCTTCCACCAATTAACTATACAGCGTTCTCTTATTGACTCCCAGTCTCAAATAGACATGTTCCTTAAGGATTTATTAACTGTAACTAATGTCCATCTGGCATCTATCTCTAATTGTTTTTCAAATATTACTGAATGTCCATGTAAGAGCTTCAGTAGTGATGTGACCAGCATAGCCTCGTAGTGACCTCTCCACTAGAGCCTATGACTACACAGCTGCTGAATCAACAGTCGAAAGGAGAATTATATATAGTCAGAAATAAGTACAAATGTGCCTGGTAGTTGCAGGTTGCTCTTTCTCCCACTCATTTTTTCTTTTCTTTTGTTGTACACTAGTTTTTCTCTTTCTACAGGGAGGGGCAGGGACCCAATTTACAGCTCTGGAGGTTGAGGGGAAGGAGTGGTAGAGCTGAAGTCTTAATGAACATTCCATTATGTCTTAATTAAAATTAAATTACTGTCTAACAAATCTATGCAATCATGTATCCAATACCAACCATGCTCTCTGTAAGGAATGGCGGGGGTGATTTGCAATCGAAAGTGTTGAATTCAAGTGAGAACAAATTAAGGGTAGAGGGAGGGAATAGGGTTGGGTTGATGGGCTTCAGAAGATTTGAACAGACTTGGACCAAAAGCCTGCTCTTACATCTGCAAAGTTGAATAAAAGCATTTGGAATTCTGATTTTTTTTTCTTTTGTACTCTTTAATATCAAACGTTATCTGCTGTACTGGAAATTAGCAAAAACTGCTTTCTGTCTCAGATGAACAGTGAATTTCACATGCACACATAAAGTTTCCTTATAAAATATTACCACTTTGAATTATTTGTCTGTGTCCCTGCTTGCTTGAGATTTCCTCCCACTAAAGCTTACATTTTCGACTTGACTGATAAATTATAGTGTGTTCTAGCTTCAACAGGCTGCAAGTTCTATCAAAATTGGTGACAAAATATGTATTAGCAATGAGTCTTTTACACTATGGTTGATCCTTGCAGTGACAAACAGGGTTGGTGTATTACCTACCATAACTGTTTCTCCCTCATAAAACAACAGGAATTTTCAGTAGTAATCTGCATTATGCCTCAAAAGTGGATGGAGCTTAATTTGTAGGGTAAACATTATTTTAAGAAAGCTCATTAATAGCCAAATACTGTATGTGCTATGAATAAACTTTTATAAAAAATAAAAACAGCCGCTCTATTAAATAGTCTAGACAGACATGGACTCAAAGAATACAACCAATAGAGAGCTAACTTACCATCCTCCTTGCTTGCCGTCCTGAGGAGGAGTTCCTGTGTGAAAATGTGAAGTCGGTACAGTAGTATGTGTCCAGTTCTTCAAATAACATGAGTGAAAGAAGATGTAACGGTTTTAATGTGTTAAAGCTTATATTATTTTTCTTTTTATCGTCTGTCTGTTGGTTGTCGGCGTAGAAAAAAACCTTTTGATTGAGAGCGAACCGTCAGGCTTATGACAACCTGAGTAAGCGCGGGATTTTTCTTTCTTCAACCTCTGTATCCTGGCCGTTACTCTGGCGAGGACGCGCGCCTTGTGTTTAAATTCACACGCAGGCGGGAAGAACGCGACCGACCGTAGAACGTGGGCTGTTGTGGCGGGAACCATGCTGGCGTTGACGTTCACCTGCCGCGTACTTCTCATCTTTCTATTGTCAAATTCGGTAAAGATGACGGACGAAAATCAGGTAAATCACGACTGGAGGCGAAAATAATTCCGGATTTCAGCTTGAATGTAAAATGTATAGTTGTGTGAATACATTTTTACAGATGCAAGCTGATTTTTGAGAAATCTGCTGAAAAAGTAAGATTTTATATTTAGTAATTGTTGCAGAAAATTAAAGATAATTAAATTATGTGATGTAATGGAGGACTTGTCACACTGTTTTAAAATATCAACTCTTAAAAAGTCACAAAGTTAAAATATTTAACATGCCCCAGTGAAGTAAAAAGGGTTTGGTGGATGGATTTCTGTGGATAGTATTGCTTTGTGTCATACATTTCCATGTCAAAACATACACCTGTTGACCTGCAAAAATGCCACCTGGAAATGTGAAATGCCTGAGCACAAGCCACATAAATCTGAACAGGCTGAAAGAGTTTTTGTCTGAAAGGTACACAATAATACAGAATGTTTACTCTTTAAAATAGCTCAATCCTCAAAAGGGTCACATGTTATAGAAGGACAAAAAATTTGGCATTACATTTAAAATATGCACACCTGTCAGCAAAGTGGCACCACATCTCTCATTCATTACTAAACCAACCACCTGAGGCCACTAAGACTGCGTATTTATTTTCATTCACAGTTATAAAATTGTTAGACATGCCTCATGTCCACAGTGCTGCCTTGTTCTCCAACAGAGACATGGTTGACTTTACTCGCTCCGGCTGTTTGTTACTGCACTCTTGGCAGGAGCCGGTTTAAGCACAACTGTATTCATGTCACTTTTAATGTTTTTTTTTTTATTTTCTGTTGCGTTTTGAAACTGGACTGTGAAGGCGTGGAAAGCTTCCATCCTGATGACTTTGGCAAATCAAGATCAGTAACAGCTTAAGGAAATTCATAAGAGTCCAAAAATGAAGTATTACTTTAATACCCTGACTTACTCTGTGTGAAATATTAGAAGAATTTATAATATTCTTGCAGTTGAGACCTAAAAAGTGGTCCTTCCAACAACTCTATAACTAATAATCATGCAGTGCAAGACAACAACAATTAGGGGAAATAGACATTTTAATTAACCAATCATGTATCTAAAATATAAATCTGATGGGTCATGTAGGTACTTGCCCTTTTATACATAAATTATTACACTTTTTACAAGGGATATTTAATAAATATTATTTTTATTACAGCATGTTGTGTAATATATTTTCTTTTTAAAAAACTGGTGAAGGTTTTCATGGTTTCTCAGTAATGATTTTGTTACATACTGTATATTTGCAAGTCATTTTGCAAGCTCTCTCTCTCTCTCTCTCTCTGGCTTCATTAATGGACAGACTGCTCTATTCTATTCATGGATTGAGTAAACACTGCCACAGATGTTTAGGATATTCATGGGTAAATGGAATCTCTATCGCTATTGTTTTGCAACTTTTTTGCCTTTTTCCCACATTACATCTCTATGTACATAACATTTTTTTAATCTGTCATAGAAAGATTGTTACTGCTGTAATTGAAAAAAGACCATGCTCTGATATTTTCTTCTTCCAATATTAATCAATTTAAACTTGAGCTTGCTTTTTTAACCAAACTTTTATTTTCCTACGTCAGAAGATACCAAATCCAAATGCAGGAGAATGTAATTTTTTAATATTTTATTTTGGGGCTATTCAAAATATAAATATGCACTCTGTTTGCTTGCTTCAAACAAGATAATCTGCCCTTTAAGGGAGTGCAAAAATATAAATCTTTCATTAGTGTGTCTAAAGTGTCTTGCATCACCTTACGCATCATGGGACCTCCAGCGTTTTCACGACAGTAGACGGCTGTTCCTCGGCCAGACACCATGTTTCCCTTTTTTTCTGCCCATTTTGAGAGCTTTTACACAGACTAGCCTTTCACATTCAGCCAGATGCAAAAAAAAAACCTGACCCCCTCCCATTCTCTAATTATAGTTGCTGGTGTTGGACAAGCAGTGGCCTCGAGTGTGTGTGCTGGACTGTGCTAGAGGGCGCCGTCAAGCAGTGTGTGGCAGCAACGGACGAATGTATAAATCTCTGTGTTCTTTTCAACGTGCCCAGTGCATTAACAGCCAGCTGAGGATGGACACACTGTCAACATGCACAGGTAAAGCACCAGATTCAGAGTTTCTGATCTCAATGGATGATGTCTTGAAAGTGTTTTGTGTTTGCCAGCAGATGCGTTGAGCTCTAAATGTCAGCTGGCTCGTTCTCAAGCTCTGCGGGCCAGTGCTCGTTCGGATTCCTTGGCCATCTTTATCCCAATATGCGACGCCGACGGATCTTATGCTGAGGTATTGTGATGCTAAAGTCCAACAACTAAATTCAGAGTTGATATTCATAGCTGCATTCATAATCTCAAAAGAAACGTAAGTGATTGGTTCGTTTGGAGGCATTGTTGTTCATTTTGCTGGCATTTTTGCCTCAATCAGTTTCCATCCCCTGCATGAGCTCTCGTGACCTTTGACCTGTAGGTGCAGTGTCACACTCAGACAGGTTTTTGCTGGTGCTCCAGCGCTGATGGGATGCCTGTGAGCGGAAGCTCTGTCCTACACCTGCGGCCCAACTGCACAGGTGAGTTCTGTTTGTGAGACCAATGAACTAGTGACACAGACCACTGTTATTTTAGTATCATTCGTTTTATGTGAATTTTGGGATATCCCATCAAAAACAAAGGATGGAAATGCCAAGATGTGATAAAAAAAACGTATGCGCTCAATTGAGTCGGTTAATGTTTTTATCCGATTAGAAGACGTGCATAAACTACGATGGAAGCACAATTATCGAATAAATCCCTCAATGCACAAAACAAAGTCATGTGACATTTTCTTGTAATAACGAGATATGTTTTTCTTGTTAAAACAACATATTTTCTCGTAATAACGAGATATGTCATTAAAACAGCATATTTTTCTCGTTAAAACAACATATTTTCTCGTTATTACAAGAAAATGTCATTTTAATAATAAAATATTGTGTTTTAACAACATTATCTCGTTATTACAACATAATTGAGTGGAAAAATAATATGTATGTGGCAGCAATTCGCCACCGTATTTTAGTACTTCAACTTAAGCTAAATGAAAATAAGAAATGTTGCCTTGGCAACTAGCTGAAACAAAATAATTTTTTTTAGTTAATTTTTTTTAGTTAATTTTTTATTTCTTTTTTTTTTTTTTTTTTAGCTAACAATAATAACCCTGATACAGACACTGCAAATTGTGCCTTAGTTTGGGATTTTGGGGTGAAAACATTTCTAGAAACATCAGAGAAGCGTAAGTTTTGTATGGTTAACTCTCTGGGGTCGGCGGTCTCGCCGGCGATACCAGCTCACTTTTTTCCTTATCAGTGCAAAAGAGACTCAAATTACTCTGTTAATTTTGATCTTACATATAAGTGTTGTACATCATTAGATCCTGTTAAGTTTCTATTTTTTTTGTGGATACTCACAATAAAAACAAAGTGTTGTGCTTTTCACCAAATAAAGAAAAACAAACATGATGCGAGTTCTGCGTTCTCTCTGTCAGTGAAGTCCATTCTGAAACGCGTCCTAAGATTAACTGTAACTCCGCGATTACTTGTCACACAGGCACGAGAGGTTTTTCTTTATGAAGCTTAAATTCTCTTCTTTTAAATGAAGTAATTTATATAAAAAACAAATATTCTCAGTTTATGCAATCTGTATGAAAAGAGAGTGCTGTCAGTATTTTTTCCCCCAGCTCATTACACTTCATTACGCGTTAATCTGACACGCCCACGGAGGACGCGCGCTATTCAAACGCAAATGTGAGGCAAGCCATGACAATGCCCACATCAGCCGTTCCACCGCGGCGGTAAAATGTGTGGTGTATTTGCTGCCTTTTACCGCTAAGAGGCGCTACAATCATAGACTCTGAAAAGTGTTCGTTTATTCCGGTTTATTCTCTCTAATGTGTAATCTGCTGCCGCACCGAAGAATTCAACAAGTGAAACGTAGTTAAAATAATTCATAATCACAATACTGAAATTAGGCTACTGAAATGTAATTGAATAAATAATGAAAACATTTCAACATAAAACATTGCAATAAAATCATTTAGGCTACATGAATGAGGCTTTACAACATTAACAGCGTACAGAAGACAGCTCAGTGATCAACGCAACGACACGAGCTTCGAGGAGCTTCAACAGACCCGAGATCGAATCTCAATGTAGCATACATGTTGTTAACCGATGTTGTCCTACGTTTATATTTTACCACCTTGATGCTTAAATAGGTAACTATTTATATCTGTTTACTTATTTAAAGTCAAGAGTTTTGTTTGATTATCATTACAACATAAATTTGCTACATTCCTGTAGAACCGCAGCCGCTGCACAAACGACAAAAACTGATGAAGATTGTCAGCCGATCAGAAAATGAAAATGAAGAAGCTCGTCTTTAGTCTGCTAAATTATTGTGTAATGTAAAAGAACACTAAAATTACTTAAGTTTGAAACCAAGTTCGAACATTTCAAGGTTTAAATTGTTTAATTTAAAACAGGGTTGCATCTTGTTTAGAGTTTATTTCTTTTGCGATGCAAAATAAGAAACACTAGGCTAATCTTATTCTTGCGACATTTTAAATTTGTATTGCCAAAGAAAATACAGCTAAATTAAACAATTAAAACAGTAGGCCTACAAAACGAAAATTGTCCAAAGAAACATAATTAAATTAAAAACATGCGTTTCTCTTTGCCTCTCTCGCGCTGGATCTCTTTTTAACAAGTTTATTTAGTCTCCCTCGCTGCCCGCGCCGGGTCTGTCTCGAAATTAATCATTTCAGGGTAAAAACACATCATACAGCTGATAATACTGTATATGTCGCTGCGTGTCAGCCATACAAATCACGAAAAATTTATTTAACCTTTAATTGTTGCTTCAAAGGCACAGCATGCCTTGTTGAATTCACCTTACAATAACTTCAATTGAAATTTTGTGTGAAAAAAACTTTAAATAGGCTACAATAAATAAACTACAATATTTATAATTTAATAAGATATGGGGCCTACATTTGGACACAGATTTATCCTTACAATAATTTTGCCTGCTCATCAGGCTGGCTATCCGACACTCTCCATATGAAAGAGGAACATTAACACCTTTGTCCAGCAATGTCCCTCCAACCCCCCACAGGCTATCGGAGTCTGAGGCTGACTTTACACAAAGAGAAGTCGCAATTCACACTTAAATCGCCATTCTAGACAGTGTTGATAATGAAGGAATTAAATGATTTAAGTTACATGTAGCCTAGTGATATTTCTGTCATAAAAGTTTATTACTAAATATTTCATTATTTCAATAATTGATGAAATAAAACTGGTTTGGGGCAGCTTTTTCCAAGCAAAACTAAATATAATCTGAAAAAACGCTTGTTAATTTGTTGTCATGAACAAAATGTTCAACTTAATATTAAAGTCTACAGGGATCTTTGGATCCTTACAACCAGGCATGCAATTTGTGAATTAAGTTTTTATTTTATTTTGTATTATTCAAATAAATATCGAAACACGGTGCTTCGTGGTAATGCTGCTAAATTAAATAACATTTATAGAATAATTATGAACTTAAATGAAACAATATCGCAACATTTCGACAAATACATTATTATGTTTTTACATTTTAATTCAGGGCGATTTAGCCTACATTTAATTAGAGCGAGATTTTCACCCATGTCTTGTCATTTTCTCATTGGGAAGCGCATGTTTGAGTAGCCTAGATCCTCTGTACCTCTCGTTTTCATATGGATTAGCCTACATAATCAGATAACATTTATTAGCCTAAATATTTAGACATTTAAAGGCTTTAGACATAGCCGATTTCTTATCGTGACTGAGCTGAAGTGGCTTTCGGTTCATTTTTGTGATGCGCAGTTCCCGGAGACAGAGGACAGATATACTGTTTTTGTCGTTAGCCTAATATGAATACAAGTTTACAGTTTTGAACGATGTAAGCTACTCTACTCTTATCTGTATGACCTAAAAATTACGGAGTCGCCTATTAAGTTATTTTAGCTGTAATAATGAGATAAATAAATTAATCTAAATGAACGCTCCGCCGCGTTTGTCGAACACTAACTCACGATGCCAGAATAAAACCCGACTTTAGAAAAATGCATAGGGTCACTCGGCGTGGTGTGCCAAAACACTTAATTATAAACTTCAATATTTCATTCAAAATAATCTCAACACGCTTTGTGAAATTTTGAAAAGCCGTGCATGCATTAAGGCCACTGGAACTAATGAACAACTGAAACGCTGGTTTTGATTTTATTGTTTTTCGTTTAAACGTGCCTGTTGCATATCTCTATTTTATATTTGATATTGGTGAAGTAGCCTATAGCATTGATTAGCTGTGGAGGGAGGGGTGTGGGGATTAAAATAATTAATAACTAATTCGCGGTATAACTAGTCGATCACGAGTGGCTCAACAGGTAGATCTATAGATAAACTATATCTTTCAGGAATTTGACCGACCGGGTTGACACTTCAGCGTGAGAAATCGGGGGTGTGGCGTGAGAGCCTGGAATAAATAAATAAAAAATATATATAGCCTATATAAAACAAAACTGTATGGTGTAACAGAGTTTTAGAGCTAGACAAATCTCTCTGCAATAATAAATATAAAATATACAGCAGACTATGTTTGTGCGGGATTTAAACCTGTGTCATCTTGATGATGAACCGTCAGTTCTACCGCTCGGCTATGAATTTTGTTACTGAGAAATAACCAAACGTTTGATTCTCACATGAGCGAGAAAACGTTTTGTCTTTAGCCTGTGAGTGTAGGCCTACTTTAGCCTTTTACAGTTTTAAAAGATTATATCTTATCTGTATGACCAACAATTTGTTGTAGGCTTATTTGGAAATTACCATAACTTGTAGTATTTCATCCTTAGGCTACTGTTAATAGACATTAGCCCCACTTACGTTTTGCTAAATATCCCTTTGCGCCACCTGGCGGTCATTTCGCGTACGACTTTGAAATGCGACTGGTTTATTTTTTCCGCGGTGGATGGCTAAAAATGGTATGTGGATGGCTAAAAGGTGTGACTAAAAATGTGCTTTTGGCTTTCATTTATATTTTGATTGTTTGTATATATATATATATATATATATATATACTAATGAGCCTTTCATTCAGGGGTGTCACACAAGAAAGAATGCAAGGACAATATATATATATAAATAAATAAATATTTATACACACACACATATATATATATATATATATATATATATATATATATATATATGTGTGTGTGTGTGTGTATATAAATATTTATTTATTTATATATATATTGTCCTTGCATTCTTTCTTGTGTGACACCCCTGAATGAAAGGCTCATTAGTATGCAGTCTGCTCAGGTGAGAACTGCCTAATTATTCATGAGGGGGTTGGGCCGATCCGCCCATCCGCATATTGCCTTTGCAAACAAAAAAATGTTTTTCACAATTTAAAACAATCTATTGTGTTATGTGAATGATAAGACAGGATGATTTTCAGATCATTTTGAAGAAAAAACTCTAGGCCACAACATCCATTAGTCAAAAGTCTTGTGGACACATATTTAGTATGTGTTTTGTGGCCTTATTTCAGAAACTTTAAGTTTTAGTTTTTTCAATAACCACGCATAAACAATATTCTCTCAAAAATACAAAAATGTACATACATGTTGATAACACATTATGGTAGCCCTGTGTGTGCTAAATAGAGTGTAATTACACCTTTGCCAGTAATATGTTTATAAGCAACTGAAAAAAGCACAAATGTCAGAGTATGTCAAAACATCTCAAGGACCCCAAAAACACCTTGGACCCCAGAGGGTTAAGCATCACTCACATTTTCTTCACAAAACCTAAAGCGATCTGTTTTTCATTTATCTGTGATGAAGGTCAGATGTCAGATATTGCTCAGGAAACCGACGCGGAATTAGCACAAGCGAGTGAGAAAACACGCATACACAAATACTGCAGTATAACGAAATAAAGGTCTTGTTATCTGACATGTTCCTCTCTGGGTTTAGAACGAGGTGTTCCTGATCCTGTGCCGACGACTGAAGGTGACTTCACTGCATTGTGGATTTCTACATCAAAATCTTATATTTGAAGTCTTTTGCATGAATTTAGTGATCATCAAAGCTCAAATACAAGCAAAACACAAACTAATGTTAATGAAAAGAACATGAAAAAAACAACATATTGTTGACATATTGATGTACAGTGTTGGTGAAAGTTACTTTTAAAAGTAATGCATTACAATATTACGTTACTCCTTAAAAAGTAACTAATTACGTTATTTAGTTACTTTTAATGGAAAGTAATGTGTTACTTTTCTGTTGCAATATTTTTCTCACCTCGGTTAGGAATAATTGTTTGTTTGTTTTTTAATAAAAAAAAAACTATTTTTGGCAAATCTAAAGGCCCGTTCACACCAAAAGTAAAATAAATAAGCCTCGGGCTGAAGGAAATGCAAATTCATGCCATATGAACGACATTGATAAAAAAATAAAGATGTTACCATTGAGATACCATCTGATTTTAAATACAGGAGTCACTGTGCCTCCATTTTGGGTGACAATCCTATTGAACTCTGACCCGAATGGAAAGCGTCCGGTCAGACGACCCACAGGTGAGAAGGAGAGAGGATCACGGCTTCATTTGAGTGTTTTGAAGAGTGAACTTGTTCAGTTTCTTACTCTGTTTTCCTGCAGACTCTCTAAAGAACTGTGAACACGAGAGAATGTCTTTGCTCGCTGAAGCGGGCATTCAGGGGTCAGATGAGCGTTTTATCCCAGAATGCAGTGCAGATGGGCGGTACAAATCCGTTCAGTGCCACAGCGGCACGGGATACTGCTGGTGTGTGAGAGTGGACTCGGGGCGGCCCATACCAGGCACTTCTGACAGGTTGTGTGTGTGTGTGTGTGTGTGTGTGTGTGTGTGTGTGTGTGTGTAAGCCAGTGTAGAAAACTGAAAATTATTCTTTCCTCTGTACAGGAACCAACTGCCTGACTGCAGCTCTCAGGAAACAAACACACTCATCATCAACAACAGCTACACAGAAACACCTCTCTCAGGTCAGATCTTAGCATATATTAGATAAATGGCAAGCAGAATGGAAAATTACATTTGAAATAAATCCACTTTCTCTTTTAAAGTGCCCCTATTATGCTCTTTAAAGGTTGCTAATTTTGTTTTTGAGACAATATGTTTACATGCATCCGTGGTCAAAAAACTCTTCAATTTTTTCATAACATACATTGTAGCATCAGCTCTTTTCTGGTTCAGGAAAGGATTCAGTCTCTAAACCCCTCTCTAACAAGTTCGTTGTTCAGGGAAAAAAGAGGCGGGAACCGTTGAACGTTCAACACACTTTAATCCAAAATAAACACCAAATGAAAGTAAAAGCGGCAGCCCCTCATGGACGACTGCCGCACACACATAAACAAAACATAACATAAAAGTCCAGGCCTGGTCCTCTCTCATCCTTCACTGTCATCGTTTCTCCTTTCATGCTTCCGAAGCTTCTCCGTGAGATACGAGGCCTCGCTCTGTTCTCGCGGCTCTCGGCCCCGCCCTGCACGCCCCGCTTTCCGATAGCTTCCTCTGCTCTGATTGGTCAGATTGCCCAGTCTGTTGTGATTGGTCGACCACTTACAACACGTGTTGGCTGATTACCAAATTTGAATCTCAGCTCTTCCTCAGCGGTTGATACACAGTGATACGAACCGTAATGACAGTTTTACCGCATCAATTCCAGCGCGTATCCTCGTCCTTTTGAAGTTCAACAAAGTGGATTTGCTTTCGTAGCTCAGAAAACAGCTTCTTCTCGACATGAACAACACAAACCAAACTCTTCCAGTCTCAGTTACAACTACAGTGTTTGAGGGTCAAAGTAGATGTTGTTCACGGCAGCCAATGAAGACCATAGACTGGCATTATGCAGCTCTGTTACAAACCGACGAAGGTTCGAGCAGGAGCAAGTTGTGTATACAAGGTGTTGTATAGAGGCTATAGTACACTGACCCATGGGTATATATTGAAGGGCAATGAACCACCAAAATGTCAATATTGTAGCACTAACTTGTAGGTTTTTTGGTAAGTCCAATTATTAATATCATTAGACAATTAATTTTTATCAGCACATTCTTTGAATGATTTATGTTGTAAGATGGACCAAGCAAAACTTTTACCATTTTTTATCACAACTGCATTTAAATGATCTTTTATAGAGTTGTAGACAACATAGTTTAGCCTTTTTTCAAAGATGAATTTTATAAATTTAGTATTTATTGTATTGTTTGTTGAATATGGATTTATATGGCAATAAATTAAAACACAACCAACAGGTCAGATCTTAGTCTATTTGACTCTCTAAAATACACATCAGCAATTTAATTAGCAATATCTGTCTGTTTGTATACTGTAGGTTGTTCCAGTGTTCGAAAGACTGACTTTTTGAAGAGTTTAATAGAAGCATTTCAGCAGGAAGTTGAAAGTGTTGCTCCATCTTCTCCTTACAGGTTAGAGACACACACATCGATTACAGTTATTAGACATAAAGACAAGCAGATATTGAGTTATCAGAGGAAACGGTCACTCTTTCAACAGATGGACAAGATTTTCAAGAGTTTTGTTTACATTTTTTCACATCTTTAAGTGTTTTGTTAACCTTTTTACAACCATTCAACATGAAACTTTCTTTCAACATTAAAACAACACCTGTTTTTTCAACCACATTTCAACACTCACATGCCGACATCAGTTTCTTACTCAACCAGTTAATATTTAAACATTGTATGTATGAAAACATCTTTTTTTTTTAATTCAGTTTGTCATACACTTCACTTTTAAAACATTGTTATTGTCAACTAAAACTATTAAAAAACATTTTTGTTCATTGAAATAAAGCTGAAATAAAATCCAAATATTACATGAAAAACTAACGAAAATTGCAAATGTTGCACTTATAACAAACTGAAAGTTGAAATACTTAAATTACTGAAACTAAAACTAAAATAAATATAAAATTAAAGCTGCTAGCAGCATTTAGCGGTGTTCAAGCAGTTAAGGCCTTTAAGGCCGTTAAGCACAACAGCATCAAAAGACTTTAAGTTTTATTTAGCATACATTTAACCACTGACATATTAGATGGAAAACACCATTTACAGCTAATACAGGCAATTTACCATAGGAAATACATGGTTTTAAAGCTTTTCAACCGTTATAGCGCCACCTATTGTCCGATCTCCATAAAACTTTGCATGCTTGTTCACGGTGTTATGTCAAATATGCTTATCAATTTTTGTGAAGTTCTGAGTTTTTATTTATGATTTATAGGCTTTTGAGTGTATTTTGACACGCCCCCTTTCCTAAATGACCCTGTTACAGTGAACCAAAGGGCAAAGTTCAACTTTTTTTTGATAATTATTGATCTAGAGAGTCCGTAGAATTGTCCTAGACTGGTCTGGTTCCGATCAGGGAAAAAACCAGGGACTAGTTCGCAAAAGTAGGTTTTGGACAAAATTGGCCATAACAAATTTTTTTTTGCTCAAATCAAGAATCCGAGATATACATCTCGTCCGTCTTGAGCCAAGGAACACAGTGGTGTACAAATCTAGATTCTAGGTCAAACGGTCGATGAGTTATGGGCAATTTAGTACTTTTGGTTGCTGTAGCGCCACCTATGGGCCAATCAGGGTCATACTCTGATAGGTTCTCCCCAAACTGAGGCCCTAGCACCTGGCCAGGTTTCAAGTCTCTAGGCCTTACGGTTTGGGCTGCACGATGCGTTTTTTTTTTTTTTTTTTTTTTCAAATAGCAATTACAATAGGTTTTCAGCACTTCGTGCTTGAACACCTAATAATAGGGGACCTTTTTGACAGTTATAGCGCCACCTATGGTCCGATCTCCATGAAACTCTGCATGCTTCTTCACCATGTTAGGACACATGTGCTCATCAATTTTTGTGAAGTTCTGAGTTTTTATTTATGATTTATAGGCTTTTGAGTGTATTTTGACACGCCCCCTTTTCTAAATGACCCTGTTACAGTGAACCAAAGGGCAAAGTTCAACTTTTTTTTGATAATTATTGATCTAGAGAGTCCGTAGAATTGTCCTAGACTGGTCTGGTTCCGATCAGGGAAAAAACCAGGGACTAGTTCGCAAAAGTAGGTTTTGGACAAAATTGGCCATAACAAATTTTTTTTGCTCAAATCAAGAATCCGAGATATACATCTCGTCCGTCTTGAGCCAAGGAACACAGTGGTGTACAAATCTAGATTCTAGGTCAAACGGTCGATGAGTTATGGGCAATTTAGTACTTTTGGTTGCTGTAGCGCCACCTATGGGCCAATCAGGGTCATACTCTGATAGGTTCTCCCCAAACTGAGGCCCTAGCACCTGGCCAGGTTTCAAGTCTCTAGGCCTTACGGTTTGGGCTGCACGATGCGTTTTAGTTTTTTTTTTTTTTTTTCAAATAGCAATTACAATAGGTTTTCAGCACTTCGTGCTTGAACACCTAATAATAGGGGACCTTTTTGACAGTTATAGCGCCACCTATGGTCCGATCTCCATGAAACTCTGCATGCTTCTTCACCATGTTAGGACACATGTGCTCATCAATTTTTGTGAAGTTCTGAGTTTTTATTTATGATTTATAGGCTTTTGAGTGTATTTTGACACGCCCCCTTTTCTAAATGACCCTGTTACAGTGAACCAAAGGGCAAAGTTCAACTTTTTTTTGATAATTATTGATCTAGAGAGTCCGTAGAATTGTCCTAGACTGGTCTGGTTCCGATCAGGGAAAAAACCAGGGACTAGTTCGCAAAAGTAGGTTTTGGACAAAATTGGCCATAACAAATTTTTTTTGCTCAAATCAAGAATCCGAGATATACATCTCGTCCGTCTTGAGCCAAGGAACACAGTGGTGTACAAATCTAGATTCTAGGTCAAACGGTCGATGAGTTATGGGCAATTTAGTACTTTTGGTTGCTGTAGCGCCACCTATGGGCCAATCAGGGTCATACTCTGATAGGTTCTCCCCAAACTGAGGCCCTAGCACCTGGCCAGGTTTCAAGTCTCTAGGCCTTACGGTTTGGGCTGCACGATGCGTTTTTTTTTTTTTTTTTTTTTCAAATAGCAATTACAATAGGTTTTCAGCACTTCGTGCTTGAACACCTAATAATAGGGGACCTTTTTGACAGTTATAGCGCCACCTATGGTCCGATCTCCATGAAACTCTGCATGCTTCTTCACCATGTTAGGACACATGTGCTCATCAATTTTTGTGAAGTTCTGAGTTTTTATTTATGATTTATAGGCTTTTGAGTGTATTTTGACACGCCCCCTTTTCTAAATGACCCTGTTACAGTGAACCAAAGGGCAAAGTTCAACTTTTTTTTGATAATTATTGATCTAGAGAGTCCGTAGAATTGTCCTAGACTGGTCTGGTTCCGATCAGGGAAAAAACCAGGGACTAGTTCGCAAAAGTAGGTTTTGGACAAAATTGGCCATAACAAATTTTTTTTGCTCAAATCAAGAATCCGAGATATACATCTCGTCCGTCTTGAGCCAAGGAACACAGTGGTGTACAAATCTAGATTCTAGGTCAAACGGTCGATGAGTTATGGGCAATTTAGTACTTTTGGTTGCTGTAGCGCCACCTATGGGCCAATCAGGGTCATACTCTGATAGGTTCTCCCCAAACTGAGGCCCTAGCACCTGGCCAGGTTTCAAGTCTCTAGGCCTTACGGTTTGGGCTGCACGATGCGTTTTTTTTTTTTTTTTTTTTTTCAAATAGCAATTACAATAGGTTTTCAGCACTTCGTGCTTGAACACCTAATAATAGGGGACCTTTTTGACAGTTATAGCGCCACCTATGGTCCGATCTCCATGAAACTCTGCATGCTTCTTCACCATGTTAGGACACATGTGCTCATCAATTTTTGTGAAGTTCTGAGTTTTTATTTATGATTTATAGGCTTTTGAGTGTATTTTGACACGCCCCCTTTTCTAAATGACCCTGTTACAGTGAACCAAAGGGCAAAGTTCAACTTTTTTTTGATAATTATTGATCTAGGGAGTCCGTAGAATTGTCCTAGACTGGTCTGGTTCCGATCAGGGAAAAAACCAGGGACTAGTTCGCAAAAGTAGGTTTTGGACAAAATTGGCCATAACAAATTTTTTTTTGCTCAAATCAAAAATCCGAGATATACATCTCGTCCGTCTTGAGCAAAGGAACACAGTGGTGTACAAATCTAGATTCTAGGTCAAACGGGCGATGAGTTATGGGCAATTTAGTACTTTTGGTTGCTGTAGCGCCACCTATGGGCCAATCAGGGTCATACTCTGATAGGTTCTCCCCAAACTGAGGCCCTAGCACCTGGCCAGGTTTCAAGTCTCTAGGCCTTACGGTTTGGGCTGCACGATGCGTTTTTTTTTTTTTTTTTTTTTCAAATAGCAATTACAATAGGTTTTCAGCACTTCGTGCTTGAACACCTAATAATAGGGGACCTTTTTGACAGTTATAGCGCCACCTATGGTCCGATCTCCATGAAACTCTGCATGCTTCTTCACCATGTTAGGCCACATGTGCTCATCAATTTTTGTGAAGTTCTGAGTTTTTATTTATGATTTATAGGCTTTTGAGTGTATTTTGACACGCCCCCTTTTCTAAATGACCCTGTTACAGTGAACCAAAGGGCAAAGTTCAACTTTTTTTTGATAATTATTGATCTAGAGAGTCCGTAGAATTGTCCTAGACTGGTCTGGTTCCGATCAGGGAAAAAACCAGGGACTAGTTCGCAAAAGTAGGTTTTGGACAAAATTGGCCATAACAAATTTTTTTTGCTCAAATCAAGAATCCGAGATATACATCTCGTCCGTCTTGAGCCAAGGAACACAGTGGTGTACAAATCTAGATTCTAGGTCAAACGGTCGATGAGTTATGGGCAATTTAGTACTTTTGGTTGCTGTAGCGCCACCTATGGGCCAATCAGGGTCATACTCTGATAGGTTCTCCCCAAACTGAGGCCCTAGCACCTGGCCAGGTTTCAAGTCTCTAGGCCTTACGGTTTGGGCTGCACGATGCGTTTTAGTTTTTTTTTTTTTTTTTCAAATAGCAATTACAATAGGTTTTCAGCACTTCGTGCTTGAACACCTAATAATAGGGGACCTTTTTGACAGTTATAGCGCCACCTATGGTCCGATCTCCATGAAACTCTGCATGCTTCTTCACCATGTTAGGACACATGTGCTCATCAATTTTTGTGAAGTTCTGAGTTTTTATTTATGATTTATAGGCTTTTGAGTGTATTTTGACACGCCCCCTTTTCTAAATGACCCTGTTACAGTGAACCAAAGGGCAAAGTTCAACTTTTTTTTGATAATTATTGATCTAGAGAGTCCGTAGAATTGTCCTAGACTGGTCTGGTTCCGATCAGGGAAAAAACCAGGGACTAGTTCGCAAAAGTAGGTTTTGGACAAAATTGGCCATAACAAATTTTTTTTGCTCAAATCAAGA